CACATTTTTAATATCTTCCCAACCTGTAAATGAGATCACACTTTTTCACATACACTTCAGTGGCTGTTTATTTTGAAGTTTACCTTTAAAGGACAAATTGATTTTTTCTAATCTGTTTGCCATATTACCCCAGCAGTGTAACCATCAGAGGGGAGAAGCTGACTCAGCAGCAGTAAGGACTACATAATTTCAGAGGTGCTGCTTGTCCCATTTTCTTTCAGTCAGCCTTGCTCTGATGCAGTGAGCTGTACTCTTTCCTTTCTCTGTCACTAAGGGAGGACATAAGCAATTAATTCCAGGAAAAAAAAAAGTGACCTCAAATGAGCAGTGGTGAGAGGTTATGCACTGGGAAATGGAGTTTTACAATGATATATTTAAAAAATAACAGGCATAAAAAGTAAACTGCCTTTTAATTTCATATTATTGTAAAATCTGTGCTAAGTTTACATTAATCAAAAAGAAAATACCTTGCTAAAATAGCTTAAATGGAGCTAGGAAATAAGAACTCAAAGCAAATTGCACTGTTACAGGTCTTTCTCTTCCTAGGAAATATGAAAGTATCAAATACCCAACACTATACTATCATCTGTTAGGAAGACCACTAACACCATTATGACCTATTATTTATCAGTCACTGAAAGGCACTTGGAAGACTCTTGTGCAAAACTGTGATGTACCACACAGCCTATGCCTACAAACCAACCAAATCACAAGCCTTCCGTGGTTCCAGAGAAACAAAATTCAGCAAATATCCATTTCTTTGTTAGGTTTAAGATGAAAAAAAAATAGATGCAATAAACATCCTTAATTTGATAAACCATGGAAGAGCAGTTCTGTGGCAGAGACATTTTAACAAAACGTGTGAAGTCAGGAGGCTTCTCTGGAGCACAAAGGGCAGGGACAACGATGGGACAGTATGCACCAGATGTGCTGTAAGTGACAGAAACTAAATCTCATCTCAGCTGCAAAGAGTTAGACCTGAATTTAACTCCCCACGTCTAAAAGATCTGACATAACGATGTGAAGGCTTGCAAAGTATAGAGGAGCTATGACACTCCTTTTGTGCTTGTTCTGGATGATATACTGAAAACTCAGTACTAACTAGCAAGGACAAGACAAGAAAAGTGATCATGTAGTGATGAGTCCCCAGAGTAGAAATGGCCTCACCATAGCACCTCTGCCTGAACAGGGAGCCCCAAAGTCTATTTGTCACACTTCAATCTAGACTCTTACTCTGGTTGAATTCTGAATTATGACAGACGCCAAATCAAATGTTCCTGTCTTTTTTTACCAGGAGTACAGACAGATTCAGATACATTGGGAAAGTGTGGGTTTGTGTATAGCGTGGTGAATACCAGTTCTCAGAATCTAGCCTTCCATTCACAGATACACATTTTCCTTTTCACTAGAGAACTAACACTGTGAATGTTACAGCTCCCAAAGGACTGCAAACACAACTGCTCTAATCAGACCTTTTTATGTGGGTTCTTGTTTGTTTGTTTGTTTGTTTTGCAATTTCTGTTCCTTTGTTGTTTGGTTTGTTGGTCATTTTTTTTTGGTTTTGGGTTTTTTCATTTTCTTTTTTTTTGTTTTTCTCCAAAGAGGAATGCCCTAATTTTCTGAATCATAGCTACTAAAATTTTCAAACTATATGAAAAAACTTACTAGTAGGCCTATAGGTGGCCTACACAAGATACCCACACACCAATATCTATGGATATATTTTGTTCTTGATAATTAAAAAAACTAGGGAGACACGATATTTTTACAGTGACGTTTTCTTATAACTAAATTAACCTGCATACATCCCCCATAAAGTATTAGGTAATGAAATTTTTGGTAAGTGCCAGGTAGATGCCAGCTGTAAAATGACAAATGTAATATTTAGATAGATGTCCTCAGTAAAAATAAAAAACAGTGGACTGTTTAATTTCATAGAAATATTGTATCATAAATCTAATCTGAGCATCATACATTAAAATAATTTTATGCAAATAGCCATGACTGCTAAATATGGTTTTAGAATAAGACTACTTAAATGAATAAGTAATATTTTAAATGTCAGCCAACATACCATGAAAAAAGAAAGCTCAATTTAATTAGGCTGGTAGTTTGTATCTTAGGTAGTCAAAGGATTAGCATGTAGAGTAAGGGAAGGCTGCACAAAGCTTTGTGCAGGTTTTACACAGGTATTCACTTTCATCTCAATAAAAGATTTAGTGTAACAAATGTTGGCTTACAGAGTGCTTTGGTGCTTATGGCACAAAAGAGCTTCTCTGCTTCTTAGCAGAAAAGAAACTTGCTGTGCTGCCATGTAAAGGTCAGGTACAGTTTTTCAAGACTGGGGGTAAAAAAGAAATCTAAAAAAAGAAGTGGCTTTGCTGATAGATCTGTAGTATAGGATACAGAGAAGTTTTTTTAATAGTTTGTTTATGTCAACTTTATTTTAACTAATTTCTCTATAAAACGAGAATAACTGTAGTACCAGTAGAGAGGACATCTATTGGCAATCACTGGTACAGTCCTATAGGATTGGAAGGACAGAGAGTTTGAGGTGATAGACTAACTTGAACTTTTTTAACCTTTTCAGCAGACTTTGTCTAATGTAGACTGCAATGCATCGAAGCTCACCTGCTGTGAGACACACTTTTACCTGGCCTTAACACAGAGTGTTCTCTATACAGTAAGAAATGAGTCTTATGACATATTAGAAGCCACTCCAACTGGAACTATTTTCTGTCTCATTGGAAAGTAGAGCAGAAAAGAAGGTGGGGCAGATGCAAAATCTGCACCTACTCTTTATAACCAGAGGACTGAGATAGATGCTGTGTGTTTATAAAACAAGCTGACTTGCATAGCACATTCATGACATTAGGAGTGCCCATATTGCAAACACTGCACTTTGGAAGCCCATAGGACTGCTAGCCCAAACTGCAAGAACAGCATGCCCACTACTCCTAACTACTGTGTTCTGCTTCTATTTGAGAGGAAAAGAATGATAACAGATTTTCTCTGTTTTGGGGAGAAAGTAACAAGAATCTCAGGTGCAAATTATTTCACAGCCAAGCATTATGTGAAAACTAAAACAGAATAAAATTATCATTTTAAACTTTCCAGAAGATATCTCCCTTTCTTCTTCTGTACTTTTTTCCTGAAGTATCTTATCAAATCTTCTAAAAGCTGGGATTTTTGAATCAACCTTGAAAATTGGAAGAGCTTCCACTACAAGTTTCCATCTACTTTCTTTTCATATGTACTGTAAAATATGCTAATAGAAAGAAGAAGCAGCTGTAATCTTCTCATTCAATTGAATTTATCAGCCTGCATAAATTTATTGTGTCATTGAACCCGTATTTGCCGAAAGAATGTAGGCCCACATACATTCCAGGCAATCAGAAGTTATTTATAGGTGTACATTACTGAAACTTCTTATAATAGCATTTCCACCATGGAGTTGTGAAGAATTACTGGGAGACAATGCAGGGTTGATGTTTTTGGGTTTGTTTTTTTTAAGTTTCCAAAACCAAGAACAGTGTAGATTCTGTAAAAGTTGAAAAGTTTGGAAATGTATTTAGGTTATTTTAATACAAGGAATTCAATGATCCCAAATCAAACAGCACGGATGTGAAAGTCATCATTTCCAAAAGTAGACATGCTGAAGGAAGCTGCTGAGTCTAACAAAGGACTCATGTTGTGTGACATCAATGGAATCTATAAGATTCAGACTCATCTAGTGATACAAGCAGTGCCTTTCAACAGCACTGACTTCATATATACAAACTGAATACAATATTCTCTGTGTCTTTATCCATTGGAAATGTACATTAATGGTGTATTCTCTTCTGTCTTCATTTATATATGATTCAAGTCTATACTAATCACCAATATTTTAATACAAATTTTGAGAGAAAAAGAATCCCCTTAGATGTGTTCATCTGGAACACCACAAAATGCAACATTGAAGCCTCTGAAATAAATCAGAGATAGTTGGTTAATTCACACAAAGCTTGAGGGGCATTGTAGTTGTGGCTTTTTGAATTAAGATATGTATAAGATATGGTTTATTCTTTTCAAGGAGAATATAAAACCTGCTGGTTTAATTGCTATTTTTTTACAGGGCTATTACATGTAAAGGCATTGAAGAACCATACTACATTGAGAACACAAAGCTGAAACTTTAAACCACAGCAAAAGACAAATTTAAACACTTGACCATGGGCTGAATATGAAAGTTCCTTATGACCAAGCTATAGCATGGTATGGCTCAGTCTTCTTCAAAACCCAAGCCGTTCACATAACAAACCTGGTTAACTAACACAGATTTATAAGAGAAGAAGAACTCTCATTCAACAGTAACACAACCAGTGAAATTTAGGAGCACTCAGACAAAAGAAAAAACCCTTCAAAACTTTACACAATTGCACATTCAACTCACACCCCAACACTCTCTCATTTTAGGGTGCAAACCAAGATTGAGAGATCTCTTACTAGTTTTCTGTCCAAGAACAATAACTTTTCCTTGACTTTACACACTGCAACAGGGCTGGAAGGATTAATATTCTAACTACACATCTGTTTAAAAACTTCTGGCCTCAGCCCATAATGGTCACAACCAAGATCGGAATTCAGGAGTTTCTGAGGCCTTAGCAACGGCTCCAAGCTTTGAATAAACATCTGTCATCCCATCTTTTTAGCACATCTGTAGTTGCACAGATTGTGCATGCAATCAGGTTAATCATTAGTCCTTTAAATAAAGAGCTAAGTATGTCTTTCAAGGACTGGAACTTCAGTCTGCACCATGTTCCTTGTATATGCTCCAAATAATAGAAACAAGTGAGTGGAATTTTCAGCATCTTTTGAACTACTCCTCTCAGCTATAAAAAGCATGAAGAAAAGAAAATAAGCCTACATATATACATAGACATATGTATGCAAATAAAAAAGATGAGATATGTCATCTCCATACACCCAAAACCTTGAAACAAATCCAAAAAGCTTACCCTTGCCAACGTCAGGGTTCCTTGTTTACATACACTGCAGCGGACCCTCAGTTTTCCAGGCTTCACAGCTTGACAGAAATTTTTGCAAAAAACATAAAAACTGTTGTAACTTGCTGCACCTGTCAAGACGAAAAACAAACAAACAGAAAACAACCACTTTTGATGTCTATTGAAAATCAGCAGCAAACTGTCATGAAAGCTTTCTGTTTGACTCTATAAGTGATAAGTTAAAATCATTTTAATTTCTGAAGACAGCTTTGTGATAATCTTTTCTTGCCTGGTCTAGTTCCTAACACCTTCCAGTAACTTCTGCTTCTTGATCAACAAGTACAGGTGAACTACACTATAACTCCTTGAAAATGCATCCAAAGCTTACCACCGATTAGCACCAACTGAAATCTTTGGCAAGTGATGTAAGAGATTAATTACCCCAACCCTCCATAATTTGCATCTCACTTCTACTCTAAAATTGTCCAGCTGCAATTTTTATGAGGTCAAATTGCATGAAAATTTCTTAGATGAAGTTTAAAAGATGAGTTTGACTGATATCACAACAAGAAAGAATTTAGCAAATTTACTTCCATTCATGGAAGACTGGAAGCCAGTTCTTTATTCTCGCTGGCAGCCTTATAATCTAGCAAAGTTTGCAAACTGCTGCCAAGATATTAGGCCAAGTAAATTTTCAAGGAAAATGAAATGAAATGCATTCTGTTCTGTGAAACTATGGAACAGAATGTGATATGCAGAGAATTATGAAAGCCCAGGGCAATGCTAATGAATTTGATTTCACAGGCAATGCTGATCACTGAATGAAGCACTTTTTAGAATAGCTATGGCTATTCCTTACAAAATTTTGGAATATCCCTGGCATGGCTTTAATCAAGACTGGACAGCTCCAAGGTCAGAGACACAAGGTTATCATCAGAAGTTGAAATGAGACCAGAAAAAAGTTTCAGACAAAAATGTATCAATATCAAGAGGAGATTTGACCCATTAACAGTGGTGAACTTCAGGATCAGTAGTAATTCTTAGAGATAAAGTTTTTCACTGTCGTTCTCCCTATTCTCTTATTTCTCCCTACATTGATCAGAAATATATGTTTTATGTACATGGGAAAACTATCACATTACCATAGTAAATATGACCTGGAAAAATTTTTTTAAACATGGCTGACTTCTTTTATTTTTACATGTCCTTCACTTAGTAAAGGGTTAGACCCTGTGTTCTACCAATGCAAAATGTCAGTTAATTACATTTTATATCTATTCATGTCTGTCCTGATTTAAACGTGCTTGAATATAATTTAAATGTAACTCAAATATAATATAAATTACATTTATAATATAAATATAATTTCAGTTTCCAAAACTCAACCTCAGAGAACTGTGTCATACAAAAAATCTTTTTTTCTAAGTATGCACATGTCTACAAAGATGTGCACCATTGAAAAAAAAAATTAACACTTTTTCAGTTTTTCAGAAACATTAGCTACATTAGAGTATATCAGCGATGTATCCAAAACTAATTTTAGTCAACTGATCTATCAAGTGTTTTCCCTGCGCTTTCTTGGAAAGTATTAACCACCTGGCAGAACATAACTACAGAATTTAAATGGAATTAAATTTTTGTGGAAAATGACACACACCTGTATATTCACACACTTACACACTTTTCATAAGAATAACTCAAAAGACTGAGAGTACAGTACTCAAATCAGTCTAAAACACAGTTCTGCGATTAAAATATTTAAATTAAAGGAAAAGAGACTTATGCTGAGCTATTTAGTAAATCCTTCAATGTTGTGAAACTTAATATGACAAAGTTTTGGACACCTGGATATCCGTTCACTCGTACTTTGCTGGAAGCTTTGATTACTGGAACTGAGAGCACATCTGGATTAGGCTTCATGTGAGCTAAAATCCACATCAAAAATCTAAACTATGGTATTGCATGTGAGGAGGACACTTGCAAGTGACTTAATTTTACTTTTGGCAGTTTCTCTATGCAGAATCAGCAGATCAATCAATAAGAGTAAAGGTCAGTGTCTTTAGCACAACTGAAAGGGAATGCCCTATGACTTAAGAAAGCAAGAATGCTATTGCTAGTAGAGGTCCACGATAAACAAGACTATTTCAGCCACTTATTCCTGACTTGGTCTCAACAGCAGGAAGTGAGACCAGTTATCACCAGTCCTCTCCCATTGTTCCAATTTCCTATGTGGGCGGTCTAAAGGGACTACTGAAACTGCTGCTTCTATTCACAATCATCCTGAGTAATTCTGTGGTGCCAGTGCTCACTGTCCTAGTTAAGTCCTACACTCCAAACTAATTTTTGGCATGATTCTAATGAAATCCTTCCAGTTAAACAGAACCATCTTATTGAGTACACAAGCTCTTACAGCATAAAATAATTTATTAATTGGCTGATGCCTTTCCTGATCCAGTTCTCCACTCCCTGCTGTCTTGTGTCCTTGCTTCACATTTTATGCCACGGATTAAAATTTATTTCAAGGATTAAAACACTTGAGGCAGGAAGCAGGCTCTCTGTCTGCTTTGTGTTCTAAGCTCACTCCATCTGGACCCAAAGATAAAATAATTTTATTGATAATAGTCTGCAAAATATTCACAGGATAGTATGGCATAAATCATCATGACTGAATACTGCAGTAAAAAATAGTAGTCATAGGAGAAACCTAAAATGAGACATATTGCTGATTTACTATAGAGGATAAATCTTATGCATTAGCTTGATATTTTCTCTGTGCAAAAATAGACTACATTAGCTCAATATTCATTTTTCTTAGCACTTTCAATTTTGTTTTCAGTTTTCATGAATATAAAAAGTCCCCCCAAACACATTCCCTGTGCACAAATTTGAAACACAAGAAACAAATTTATAATATAATGGGTTGGAGCAGTTAAGCAGCACAGATCTATTCAGAGACACAGAATAACTTTAGAAATATCTGCTATAGCAAAGAAGCTGGAAAGGCACAACATGACAAGAGGAATGCACTGATTTTAGAAGGAATGTGTTAAATGGAGATTTTCAGCAGCAGCAGGATTCACCATTTTATGCAGATGTGCTGATCACTTTCTCAGGAACTGCAGTCACATCATTAGGTGCAGGTCCTGAGTAGCATCAGCAGGCCAAACAATGACTTAATTAAAAATGCAGATGCTGCAAGTCTGCTTACATTAAGTCTGGCCAGCATTAAGCTCTTTACTGACTCTCATACCACTGGTTCATATTACCAGGGCCCTTGGCTGAGACTGCATCCCCTTGGACCCCTTTTCAAAAGAAAGACACAGGAAAAAGGAAATCTGTCTTATGCACCAGCTCTGACACATCAATATAAATAAAGAATGTAATTATGGCACAGTGCCAGTAATCACTAAAATTGCTGCAGAACCAACCATATAAGTAAACGTATGAGGCACACACCTTTTGGGTATACAACTTTAATGAGAATTGAGAAAACAATCTCTATTTGCAGTTTTCACTTCCAAATATCATTAAAAGACACTTATTACATGCTCAAAGAAAGAGAAATTACTTACAAGATCTAATTCACTTTGCAAAAATACAACTAGTATGTTCTGTCTTTAAACTTTTGCCCTTTAACTGTTTTTCTTTGTTTGCAAAGACTTCACAGAGCACATATCTTTCCTCTCCAGACCCAAGTATATGGACGCACACATTAATAAACTTTTCTACCTGTTATAAATTATACCTATTCTTTATGATGCCTATCTAATTTAGAACATGAAAATGGTATTTATTTAACAGCTAGATTCATCTTAACTGGTTGTGATATATTCTAGTGAGAAAAATTGACACTTTTATGGTTTGATTCAATTAATCCTAAAGTAGATATAAAAATATATAAACATGTCAGATAAATTGTGTCTAAAAGGGTCAATTTCTCTCCATTGTGGGGATTTAGAATCACAAGGTGTGATAGAAATATCTACTTCGCAAATCTCTAAAATTAGGGAACATGAACCCTGCTTGGTGATGCCATGCAAAAGAACTTGTGACTAAGAGCTGAAGAATTCTGCACTATGGATAACAATATGAAATATAATAAATCTGAAAAAAATCCCAATTAAACAACCACAACTCTTTCTTGATACTCAAATAAGACTTGCAGAATGTCTATATATCTATAGGTAATAAAAGTATATGGAATACACAGCTATTCAGAAAAAAAATAAATGGACTTGACACTGTTTCAAGGACTAAAAATTCAAGAAGATTTGAAATTTGGCTGAAAAGGGTATAATGCCTAAGAGGTGGAGTAACGGAAGTTACTTGACAAAGACAGTGGGGCACACTTATCTTTTTAATGCCTTTTTAGTTAAAAATTTTGTGTGAGAAAAAACAACCAGGAGACATCTACGAATTAAAAAAATGCAAAAAGCACAGCATTTGATTTGTCTTAAATTACTGGAATTCAGGACATTAGTATATTAGGTTTTCTCTTCCAATCATTATCATGAAGGAATCATCTGCTTCACTTTTCTGAGCCCCAGTATAATTTCCCTCCACTTTCTTTTATATTTCACCCAAATCCCTCATTATTTTTTTACCCATCTAACTTCTGTAATTACCTTTTCCCTGTCTCATTCCCTTTCTTGACCTCTATATAAGGTCACCATTCTCTTATTTCTCACAATATATCTTCCTCTCCTTCAGCTTGCTCTCTGATTTTCAGACAAAGAGCAAAATTCAACATTATTGCTCATATTAAGAATAAGGAGTGAAGAATTCAAAAAGAGGGAAAAATAAAAACCACCAAAAAACAATTGTGATGATTCTGGCAGACAGCAAAACATGGAATAAAAAAAGCCCCAAACAAAACAACACACCAGAAATTTCAGGGAACTGCTGAAAGCTTGGCAAATAATACATGGGAGCAAAACAGTGCTACAACAACAAAGTGTTCGAGACTTAAAGTGTCAAAAGGTCTCCCATAAAATATATTTCTTGTGCATGAGGAAACCACTATGCAGCAATCATAATATTCCCCAGAAAGCTCCACCTTAAGCTGCTTTTTACATCACTGAAGGGCCTGAGTGTGACCTATGGTGATGACAACTGGCTAGACCTGGTTTAT